GCCGTGATGTGTAGACCAAACGCCATCAGCGACACGGCCGTGATGTGTAGACCAAACGCCATCAGCGACACGGCCGTGATGTGTAGACCAAACGCCATCAGCGACACGGCCGTGATGTGCGGACCAAACGCCATCAGCGACACGGCCGTGATGTGTAGACCAAACGCCATCAGCGACACGGCCGTGATGTGTAGACCAAACGCCATCAGCGGCACGGACGTAACGCATGGACTAATTGCCATCAGCGACACAGCCGTGATGTGTAGACCAAACGCCATCAGCGACACGGCCGTGATGTGCCGACCAAACGCCATCAGCGACATGGCTGTGATGTACCGACCAAACGCCATCAGCGACATGGCTGTGATGTACCGACCAAACGCCATCAGCGACACGGCCGTGGTGTTCGGACCAAACGCCACCAGCGACGCGGCCGTGACATGCGGACCGAACGTCATCAGCGGCACTGCCACCACCCCTTGAGGCACTTTTTGTTAGCAGAGCTCAGTTTTCCGGGGTACACACTAAAGCGCAGCGCGAAGCAAAGCGAAGCAAAAACTTCCCCCGCGGGCGGAGCGCATGGCCGCTCTCTAGTTCCACGCAGCAAGTACGTGGAACCGAATGTCCCTAGCCCCTGTGAGTGGCCGCACACAAGCTATGTATCGCATGCCTTGGAGTAGCTACTGCAACAGCAGAGGGTGACACTAGGGCAAGCAATCGCGACGTCTTTTACGCAGGAGGCTTGATCAATGTTATGCCCGTCTCGGTGGCTCAGTTGGTTAGAGCACCTGCCTTTCGATCAACCCACCCGAGGCGGGGTGGCCTCGAGTCGCTTTCGGCGCCTTCTTTTCCCTTGACAGGTGTGGCCTGTGGCGGTTGGCAGCGGCCGCGCTAAAGGTCAGGTGACGCCAGAGGGCATGACTTACCGTGCCGAGCATTGCGGCCCGCTAAACAGATGCCAACAAATTCTGCCGTTGCCTGGAATTGCACGATCGGATGGCAGGGGTCAGAGTTCACTCAAACACTACCGATCGTGTGCTCTGATCCCAGAAATCCACCCATTCCTAAAGGATCGGGTTGAATCATTATAAACCGACCATTATGTGTACGGTGTGCACGAATACACCATAAGCTTGTGCCATTGGGACTGTACGACGTAGTCAGCCACTGAGGCTTTATGACGTCACCTGCCCCTCACCCTGGCAGGAAAGGCACGGGCGACCACTGTGACCTCCTTGCCGGTGGTTTCCAGGCGCGCAGCCTTAATACTGTTCTACCCGCACCTCTACAGCATAAAATGATACCTTACGCATTCTACATACACTAAAACACACCCTGCAAAGGGAACACAAAAGTGGGAACTTGCGCTATCCCCTCCCTGTGTAGCTCGGAACTCAACACGTTTTTAAATACGCGGTTATTCGAAATGGTTTGCGTGGTTTGATTTGGGTTCAGCGCACATGCTAAGCATAGCTTGCTGGGTGTGCCCTGAACCCACCACCAAACCTATCCCGGCGAGTGCAACGGAAAATTTTGCCTCCGCCCTTTCACCAAGCAGGACTGCGGATGGTTGAACATGTCGTACATTGCTGAGATGTTTATGAATTTGTCTACTTATAAAATACACACCGTACATCGTACCGCAGATGGATCAGTCTAAGAACAGCCTCACCACACACACGTCCGCTTTTCCAGGGGCGCGTTTTCTATCGTGCGGAGATGCGTCCAAAAGTCAACTGGACTGGAGTTCGCCGCCAAGATCATCAACACCAAAAAGCTGTCTGCCCGAGGTACGTGCCATCTGGCTGTCGTCAACTGACTGCCGTCTGCCGTCCGTCTGCCATCGCGGCTGCCGCAGTTCTGCGCTCGCAGTGCCAACCGCGCTGTAGCCATCTCAGCGAAACGACCGTCAACGTCTCGGCTGCATTAGTGCGGCTCGTGAAATATCATAACCGGGCTGTACATCGCCTGCGAGTTTGCCGGCCGAGTGCATGGGGCCCCCACCGCCCTGCGGGCCAGAGCGGTGTCTGATGGCGTAGCCCAGTTCCCGCCTGTGCGATGTTGCGGGCGAGTCGATGTTGCGGGCGAGTCGATGATGCGGGCGAGTCGATGTTGCGGGCGAGTCGATGATGCGGGCGAGTCGACGTTGCGGGCGAGTCGACGTTGCGGGCGAGTCGATGTCCAGCTTCAGCAGTGATCAGTCCACATCACACTGAAAAAAACATCGAATCACTTCTTTAAAATCCAAATGTACTGAAACCTTTACGACCAGAAGCATCTATGACACAAGCATCTATCGCACTGTTGCATTTGGCGTGATCCTTGATCCGTGACCCGTGATCCGTGACCCGTGATCCCTGATCCCTGATCAATGATCCGTGATTCGTGACCCGTAACTCGTGTTTCGTGATCCGTGATCCGTGATATGTGATCCGTGTCCCGTGATCCGTGACCCATGATCCGTGACCCATGATCCGTGATCCGTGATTCGCACGAGCTGCATACTGAGTGCAGCGCGGGTCGACACGTCCTGTGTGCTGTTAAGAGGCCACGTGCCGCACCGTTTGGCACGCCTCACCCGCGCCGGCACCCGGCACGTCGGTGCGGCCGGCGTGAAGCTGCCTCGCCGCCGGTGTGCGGCGGCCGGGCTGAACGGACGGGCTGCCCAATAGCTGTCGCGGCCGGTCGGCCGGTGGACGACCCGTCCCCCGGGACGAGCGCCGAGGGATGGCGGCCGTGCTGCGCCCCGCGCGCGCCTCCGTCGCCCGCACCTGCCCCGGCTGCGGGCGAGCGTCAGCCGTGTGCAGCCCCTGGCGGAGCGGTCAGTAACGCAGCCGGCTCCCCAAACGCGTCCGCCACCGGCGAGGGGGAAGCATGGGGAGGGGAAAAACTGCGAGTGCACATGGCACCCCTCTTAACTTATGCACTCCCCAGTTACTCACATTTAGATCTCGGCAGATCAAACTTGATCTGTTCTGGAGAGAATGTATATATATATATATATATATATATATATATATATATATATATATATATATATACTATGCCCCCAAACTTTGAGAAGAAAGTGGCTAAACTCGTTTGTTCGTTCGTTCGTTTGTTCATAAAAACTCGTTTGTTGGCGTATTGTGGGAACGAGTTTTTCTTCAAATTTAGCCACTTGCTTCTCAAAATTTGGGAGGCATCGCAAAACCCAGTTATGGGGGGCGGGGGCTAGAGCCACCCCACATGAGTATACCTACATGCAAACTTAGGGGCGAAAATGCATACATGCACACATGGGTACGTCTGTACAATGAGCGCGCGCGTACACACACACACACACACACACACACACACACACACACACACACACACACACACACACACACACACACACACACACACACACACACACACACACACACACACACACACGCACGCACGCACGCACGCACGCACGCACGCACGCACGCACGCACGCACGCACGCACGCACGCACGCACGCACGCACGCACGCACGCACGCACGCACGCACGCACGCACGCACACACACACACACACACACACACACACACACACACACACACACACACACACACACACACACATATATATATATATATATATATATATATATATATATATATATATATATATATATGTATATGTATATCGGATGATTCTTCACTGCCTCTCTGTGCACGCGCCCACATCTGTAAGGGTGCAGTGCGGCCGCATGGCCCTGCGTGGCCCGGCAGGTTGCCACAGGTAGGCCGGCCCGGCTCTGGCCGGCACCGGCCGTATTGAGCGGGCCCGGCCGGCGGCGCGCCCCGCCCCGCTGCAGCCGGGCACATCTCGGCCGCCCGCCCGTCGCGCCGTGCAGTATACCTTGCGCCGCGCGCGCGCGCCTCAAAACACCGGCCGAATCGATGGTGTGGCCGCG